AAGACTGTAGAGAAAGCTATGGTAACATATGTGAAGAAAGCCCAACGAAATGTTAAGGGCAAATCACAACCAACAACAAATGTAACTCACCCAGGGACTATTGGTAAGGCAAATATATTCTCTGTAACCTCTAAAAATAATACTTGGATTATTGATATAGGTGCATGACTAAGGACTCTAGTCAGTTACACTTCATGCACCTCTCCTATTACTGAAAAACAATATGTCATCTTGTCTAGTAAGTTCTAACTCTTTCATCTTTTGAATATAACCTTCTGTCAATTAGTCAAATTAACTCCACTCTTACTTGTACTGCAACTTTCTGGCCCCATTTTGTGTATTTTAGGTCATTTGAATTTGGAAGATTCTTGAAAAAATTCCTTCTCTTTTTAAAGCTCATTACTTTGTTATATTTATTGATAAATGCATTAGAATGGCTCCGGTGTCTTTGCTTCATAAAAAGAGTGATATTTGTACATCATTTCAATATCACAGTATGGTGGGCGCTCAATATCAAAAACAGATTTGTATTTGGCAATCTGATAATGCAATGGAGTTTATAGATACATTTTTTGGGAAGTTTTTGAGCTAACATGAAATTCAACATCAAACTTGCACATATACTCCAACACAGAATGGCTTGATGGAGAGGAGGAATAGATAGATACTGGAGGTGGTTCGTGCCTTAAAATTTTGATAACTGAAAAAATTCACTCAAAATGCTTCTTCTTATGTAATTTTGATAGTATTCATGAGGCGTTAGTTCATTTTGAAAATGAGTGAGATTTACCGATGACTATAGTGACAGAGTTATCCATATTAACACCATTAATTGAAGAATTCACTCAGAATGCTTCTTCTTATGTAATCTTGAGTCTCATATTTGACGAGCCTCTTATTCTTACAAAAACTTTAGCCTCAAGATACCTATAAAGATTGAATAAGGATATCCTAAAAAAAAAAAAAAAACAATACGAACCTGATTCTAAAGCCAATGTTAAGTATTCAACCAATAGTTATGTCTCCACTCATAGACATCTAAATCATATGCACTTACTATTAATCAATCATCCAATATATCTATTTCTAGTAGTGTACAAAATGCATAAGAATATTCAAAATGAACTAAGGCAATGAATGAAGAGATGTAGGCTTTGCAAAAGAGCTCTATGTGGGAACTTGTTTCATTAACCAAAGGAAAAAAGATGATCTGATGTAAATGGGTGTTCATTGTGAAACTTAGAGCAGATGTAAGCATTGACAGGTACAAAGTATGGTTAGTTGCTAAAGGGTTTACACAAAGGTATGGGGACCAAGAGACTTTTGCACCTGTAGCTAAGCTTAACACAATCTGCATTCTCATATCTATGGCAGCAAATTGAGAGTGGCCTCTACAATAATTTGATGTTAAGAATGCATTTTCTTAGAGGAGAAAATCTACATAGAGCTACTATCGAGAGTTAAAGGTAGTTCTTCAAGTAGAAACAAAGAGTGTAAATTGAAGAAATCGTTATATAAACTTAAACAATCATCCAAAGCTTGGTTTGAGAGGTTCTCTTCTGTAATGAAGGCATTTGGTTATAAGTAGAGTAGTTCAAATCATACTCTGTTTATAAAACACAAATATGGGAAGGTAATAGCTTTAATTGTGTATGTTGGTGATATATGGTCTTAAAAAGAGATGATCCATGTGAAATGAAGCTGTTACAGGAATATTTAGCTACTGAGTTTGAAATGAAAGACATGGGAAAACTTAAATATTTTTTAGGAATTGAAATAGTAAGATTAGATCGAGGGATTTTTCTTTCACAGCAAAAATACGTGCTAGATCTTTTGATTGAAACTAGAATGCTTGCTTGCAAACCATTAGAAATGCCTATAAAAGTAAATCAAAGCTTGGAATTTTTTCAAATCAAGTTTCCACATACATGATTCACTATCAATGACTGGTTGAGAGATTAATTTATTTGTCACACACGAGACCAGATATAGCCAATGTCGTGATCATCATTAGTTAGTTCATGCATGCTTGGGGTGAAGAGCACATGGATGTAGTATAACGAATCTTAAGATACTCACTAGGTGCTCTGAGAAAAGGTTTATTATTCTTAAAACATAGTGTCTCTAACATTAAAGGATACATGGATGTAGATTAGGCAGGTGATCAAACACCAAAAGGTCTGTGTCTGATTACTTTACTTTCATGAAAAATAATCTCCTTATTGGGAAAAGCAAAAGGTAGAAGGTTGCAGCACAATCAAATGCAGAAGCAAAATTTTGAGGAATGACTCGTGGTGTATATGAATTGTTATGGATTAAGAGTGTTTTAAAAGATTTTGGGATTGAATATTCAAAACCTATAAATCTTCATTCTGATAATAAAACAGCTATTGAAATTGCAAAAAATCTACGTAAGTGCACCAACCATATTGAAGTTGATCATCATTTCATTAAGGAGAAGTTGGACCAAAAGTTATACAGTTTCCATTTGTCAAGTCAAAAAGTCAGGAAGCTGGTATACTCACAAAAGCAGTCTTATGAGAGATATTCCACGATATAATTGACAAGTTAGATATGATAGATATCTATGCTCCAACTTGAGAAAGAATGTTGGCATATGTTATCCATGTGCTGTAATTCTTAAGATCAATTTCTTAATTATAGGAATTTGGTAGTTGACTATATTTGTATATTAATATGAGTATTTAATTTTCTTAGAATATGATCGTTTGCTACTTTTAATGTGGTCTTTACCATATATTTAGACCATGTACTCTTAATTTTTTTTTAATTGAAATCCTCTACTCTCTTTTGGCTTGATTGAAGCCTTCTATTTTTGAGATTTTTTTGTTTCAAACTCTCTATTATAATATCATCAATCATTAATCGACATATGACATTGTAAAATAAAAAATCTCAACCATGTGTCGATCACTAATTGATAGTATTATAACAAAGAGTCCGAAGCAAGAAATCCGTAAGAGTAGAGGGTCTCAATAAAACAAAAAAAAGTAAATTGTCTTAATAAAAAAATTCGAAGGGTACAAAGTTGAAATATGGAAAAAATCCTTTTAAGATTTAATTGTACCTATATATTTGCTCTAAACTGGGAAAAAAAGATAAACAGAATAAAAAAAGAGTAGATTGTCTTAATAAAAAAAATTCGAAACCATTATCTAAAAAGAGTAGATTGTCTTAATCAACAAAATTCGAAGGGTACAAGGTTGAAATATGGAAAAAAATCTTAAAAGGGTACGAGGTTGAAAAAAAAGATAAACAAAAAAAAGTAGATTATCTTAATAAAAAAAATTCAAAGAATATAAGATTGAAATATGGAAAAAATCCTTTTAAGATTTAATTGTACCTATATATTTGCTCCAAACTGGGAAAAAAGATAAACGGAATAAAAAACACTGTTTCATAGAAACCATTGTCTAACAATCAACAAACATTTAGCTTGGATTAAAAGATGTAACAAAATGTCTGTCGTATGGCAATGAAATAGAAAACCAAGTAGCATCGAATATATATAACCCAGCAAGTGTATGAATTGAGACGGTCATGTTACGTTAACTCCCAAAAAAAAAACTCCAAAAAAAAAAAAAAAACAAGAAGGAAGGAAAAGGGTCGACTTGTACCAAACATCAAAGAAGAAAAGGGTGTGGTTGTAAAACTATAAAATTACCCTTTCATATAATTGGACTTCATGGAATTAGTCCATTGTTATCCAGGTTAATGGAATAGTAAAAGGGTGGAAATGTAGCTAAGTCTAAAATGCAGGGGCAGCCTTTTTTTGAGAGCTACAAGATTTCCTGAAATCTTTTAGGTGCTAGGAAAAAGAAAAAAGAAATACAAAAAACAAAGAAATCTTTTTCGGTGGAAATTAGTTTCAATTTTCAAACATAAGCCGAGAGGGCGAGCTTTGTCCACCCTGCATCAATTTCACATCCACAAGTCTCAGTTCCTTAGGATTTAAGTTAATTAGATAATAATCACTTAAGCAGGCATTTGTCAATTTGTGTTGAGACTTGCTATAACTCCTCCTTGGAGAAGAAGAAACGAAATTTCATGCATTTGAGTGCGCCTATATTGGAATGCAGAGTTTCAGTAGGGAAAAAAGTGACTTGCAAGAAAATGTGCATTCCACCTGAATATTAAATCATTTAGGACTGGACCGGCATGAAAGATCTATGCTAAAGATTGGAAAACATTCTTTGATGGGAACTGACCATTTTGCTTAAAATGGAAATATATGACTTGTAGCCATGTGATGCTGCAGGCAATGAAGCTCAAAGTTTCTATCTTGCCACTAAAAATAAAATAGCTTAAAGGGATGACGCAAAGGCGTTTCAACTCTCAAGTATACGCTGCCACTCCCCATTTCAGTTGTGATCAATACAGGAAACAATATTGAGCCAAAGAAACCAGAGAACTTGATTTTACAAGATTCTTCAGGGTGAAAATTCAAGAAAGGTATTTGTTGTTTAAGCAGGGATATACACTGACTGATTTCATTTTTCAAAGAACATCAAAACTTGATAAGATAGGAAAGAGAATACAGAAACATATAGGCTTAATAATAGCAAAGATATTTTTCTTTTGAACAAGTAGTAGCAAAAACATTTGTGATACAACACTCCCGCAAAATTTTATATGAAACAAACTCAAAGGTGATCTTCAAACCATGTTATCTTCAAATTTCAACCTGCATATGACAGATTAGAAGTAGTAGTATTTTTTATTAGAATTATAAATAAAAAATAAAGAAAATATGTTCTTCACTCATAGAACTAAAGAAAAGAGAGAGGGGGAGAGAGAGAAAAGCACCTGTTTTAGCAAAACTTAGATGAAACTGCTGATCAAGAGATTAGCCAATGCCGATCAAGTTTTGCACTCTTTTTCTTGTCCTCTAAGGCAAGAAAATATGGGACTGTATGCTTTACCATTCCACTGATTTCTAATAGATATTCATCCATTAGAAACTCCTCTATCTCATAATTTTACTGTCTTGATCCTTGGGAATCATCTTTATCAGAAGGTTGCTCTTGCTGCTGGTCTTGATTCAACGAATTTAAGACACCACGGCCCTGCACCATCTGCTGGTAAAAGGGACTGAAAGCTTGAGGATTTAACATCCCATTATGGCCATCCTGTGAAAGTCCAAGCTCCAACCCTGGAAGTTGCTGGTTAGTGCCACTAAACATGGAGTAAAAACTCATCAAACCCATGTTAATATTTGGAAATTCAACCCCATGGAACCCATATTTTGGTAGTAAAGTATTGGGGTTTTCATTTCCAAAATTCGATGTTGATTGACCAGAATTTGGAACAAACCCTGTCCCAATTCCGCCAACAGAAGGCCAGACCCCACTTGCCACATTAGATCTTCCTAAATTAGTATTCATCATGGTCCAGTTAGTCCTATCTCTGGACCCAATAACACCGGGTCCCAACCCTTCCAGTTTTGCGTGCAATCCTGTTGAAACAGAGTTCCCCTGTTCTGAAACAGAGGCCTCTGCGGTTGCAAGAGCTGATGCAGGAATAGTGCCAGTACCAGTTGCAGCAATAATTGATGGCTCTGCTTGTTGCAACAACCACTGAATTGTTTCTCCATCAGATTTATGCCCCAGTTCTTTCGTCAATTGAAAAATCCTCGCTGCGCAAAGAGCTGGCATCCTTATCCTCCTTCCTCTTCCATCCACTTTCTTGTGCCTGTCTTTGTTGGAGCTTCTCTTTGGTGCCAATTGCTTCTGGTTATCATCTTTGTTTGAAATCATAATTCGGAAATCTTTGATCTCTGCAGGCTTGCTGTAATTGTTGTTGATGTTGTCCCCTGACAAGCTTGCTTTTTGTGGAGGATTCAAGAAAGAGGGCACCTGTAGTTGATGGTGATTTGGGCCCTTAGGTTCCATGGGAACAGGGAAAAATAGGAGCCTCTTTGATTGAATAAGGTGACCTAAAATGGGCGTATACTTTCTTGTCCTTTCAATCTCATCTGTCAATATATTTGGCTTCATGTTCAAAGATTGAAATTTGCAACCTTTTTTCTTGTCACAAAGTTTCAACTTAAAGTTACTACAAAATGATTAAGGTAACCGCCTCTCTCTTTCATTTGACTGAGCCATAACTTTTATTTTGTAAAGTTTGATGTTCACCGTGCTAAAATATTTACTTTAAGGATGAAAGCTGCTGTATGAGCTGAACATTATCATTATTTTTTAAGCAGTTAACATATGAGTTGAACCTGAATACATAATTTGATAATACTAGTATTAGTATCAAGGTTGTTGTTGTTGTTGTTTCGTGGTTATAAGGATAAATACAGGAGGATAACTTGATGCTTAAGATTTAAGAGAGTGTGTTCTTTCTTTGACTATGATTAAGAGTTATGAAATTAGGTCATAAGAAGTAAATTCTCATAAATCTCTTATTTATTTATTTATTTATTTTGTATTTATTGAGAGCTGATGAACTTTTGGGCTATATAGCGAAAATAACTCACTTTTATTACATAATCATTAAAAAAATTTAGAGTCACTGAAACTCAGAATTTTGTTTTACTAAAAAAGCTATTTGAATACATTACCGTTCAACTAAGCTTATATGTGTATAAATTTTTTAATTTCGAAATAAATAGCTTATTTTTTTCACGAGAAAGTGAAAAAATTGACTTAGTTTTGATGAAGAAGCTAACAAAAAAAAAAATATATATATATATATTAATTAACATATAAGTTATAATTATGGTGACTCAAGTATTTGAGTGACCAGAATAGCTAGCAATGTGTTCAAACCAAGTGGTTTTTCCCTCAAAAATACTAACATTTTATCTAAGAAAAATTAGTAAGCTTTAAAGAAAGCAAGGGAAAAGTGTCTTTCTCCTAGCAGCTAGCTCTTTTTTTCACCACACAACAATACAAAACCGCATTCTAATCAGTCACGTGAAATGAAAAGGCAATGAATCTAGAAAATAATGCATGCTAGAAGAATAGCGAATGTATGAATTTCACTTGAATTGGCAATTTCACCGTGTTCTTGTTGGAGACAAAAATGTTATGATTGGACTCAAGACAATCAGAGCGTCAATTGTGCCTCGAATAAGTGACGTTGTTTGTTAGCAGACTTATGGGCTGTGTGCATGTGAAAGCAGTGAGCCTTTTCTATTCTACTAGAAGAATAAATTAAAGAGGACCGAAGACAATAATTCACACGTCCCGTGGACATGAGATAGGATAATGTCTTGGCCAAGTTTTTATTGCAGATAATGAGTGGGTCCTTGAATCTAGGGGTTACATACAGTTCCAACCTTTTGGATTATCGAAATGCAGTGGACGCTTCAATTCTTCAGCTTTTGGAACCAATCATGAAACATGGGCTATGCGGACAGTTCCATCTTGCTGGTCAGCCAGCATGACTGCTTATGCAGGGTATTTGCGTGAGAGAGAGATTGTTCGTCTCTGTGTAATCATAAATTTTGGTATACAGTAAGTTCAATTTAATGAGTTTGAAGACTGATGTGCTGCTTAGAAGTTCATAAAGGAAGTCCAAAAATAGATGTGTTTTTTTTCTTTCTGAGTTAATAATTTTTAACGTGGTTCAAATATGATGTATACTTGCAAGAAATAACGAGAATCTTATTGCAAGATGTTTTATAGAATCATTTTCAAAAAAAGAAAAAAAAGGAAAAAAGAAAAAAGAAAAGAAAAAATTCAACTGTTGAATTTATGGGATTTGTTGAAAAATAATTTTGGGAAAATTGTTAGATAAAATTAGCATTGTTTTTTTTTTTTTAATAAAAAAAAATGCCATATTATTCCATGTGATGCACTTTTACAAGAAGGGTAACTGCTTTGGTCTTAGTAAAGATTTTATCTTGCATTATAAAAAGGGTAAATGGTTCAAAATGTCTTTTTACTATTTCGTTTGTCTTAATTATGTTTATTTACTAAAAGTTTCATTAATTCCATCACTTTATTGTTATCTTGATCTTAATTTTGTCATTTTATCAACTTTTTAGATAACAACGTCAATTTTTGATAACGGATGCATAAAATGCTGATACATGATAATTTTTTTTAAAAAAATAAATAAGTTTTTGAAAAAATGAAAAATTTCAAAATGCTCATCTTTTTCTCTGTCTTTTGCTTATGTTCCTTCCTATGTGATGAAAAAAGTTTCTTTGGGTTTGGGTTTGGATTTTTTTTTTTTTTTTTTTTTTTTTTTTTTGCTTTTGTTCCTCCCTATATATATATATATATATTGGCTTGGATTTGAGAGAAAAAAGGGCTATTTTGGCATTTTATTTTTTTTAAAAAAAAATTCCCGCTTGTCAATATCATGTGTGTCTATCACCAGAAATTAGATGAACAAAATTAATGCACAAAATAACCATAGAAAGACAAAATTAATGAAACATTTAGTAAAAGAACATGATTAAGATAAATAAAATAGTAAATGGACATCTTGATCTATTAACTCATTACAAAAATAAATATTTTATACGAAAATTAAAGTAAATTAAGAAGAAAAAAGCACATGACTGAATCAAATCTCTTGATTTTAAATTACATATCATAAAGATCTGATAGTGCATGAAAAATAACTAGTACTAAAGGCATGTTTTTTATTACATAAAAGGTTTATCTTAGTATGGACGATTTTTGTTTTAAATTACATATTGTTAGCACTCAAAAATTTTTCAAAAAAATACAAAAAATACAAAAAAGAAGAAGAAGAAAAGGACTTAAAAAGAATTGAGGGATGTGATTAAAAAAGGGAGGAGAAAAGGACCAAAATAAAGCGAGTTTGCGAGAAGAGGGACCAAACCAAACTTCATCTAAAAACCCTAAAAATCAGTTCAAATATCACTTTTTATATGAAAAAAAGAGGGACTTTCTCTCTCTAAAAAAACTTAACTGACTACCTCCCTCTTTGTCTAAAAAATTTCGATTAGCCATACTCCCACCTTCGACCTGCCAACCACCACGCTCGCACGCTAGCCAGCCAGCCTTGCGCACCCCAGTGCACGCCCAGCGTCCACTCGCCTACACGCTTGCTCGCCCATGCTAGCCCAGCTCCTGCATGCCTCGCGCGCCCTCAACAAGCCTCACCTGCACGCCTGTGCGCCCCAACAGGTCAGCCTTGCGTGCCTCAGTAGACTAGTCACCCTCCACGCGTCCAGCAGCCATACCAGACTCTGGTAGCAACCTCCGCCAACTATCCAGCCCATATCCGATCACTAACCATCCTTTGCCTCACACGAAGTCTAGGTCTACAACTGACAGCCATCACTCCTTCCCGATTGACTTCAGTCTCCATCGAGTTAACGAAACTAACCCCAATTCAACAAATCAAATTTATTCTGCCTTAACAGTAATTTATTTTCACCTTTTTTATTATTTCATTTTTATTTTAATATGTATTAAATTCATTCGTGCTGATGTGTATGTAAATAATTAATTTGCTATGATATTCCCAAAAATTAATTGTATTGTAGCTGTGCTTGTGGATTTAGTTGATGTGTTTATTCTGTAAATTTTGTTGTGATATTCCCATAAATTAATTGTATTGTTGCTGTGCTTGTGGATTTGGTTGATATGTTTATTCTGTAAATGTTGGTTATTGCACGGGCAGGCCATATAGTCAAATTGTTCTCGCTGATAGTGAATTTAAAAAAAAGAGGCGTGATGTTTGATTTTTGCCAATTTTACTTATTTGTCAATTTTTTCCTTATTGTTGATTTTTGTCAAATTTTACCTAATTATCGATTTTGTCGATTTGCCGATTCTTTATCGATTTTGCCTATTTGTTGACTTTTGCCTATATGTCGATTTTTATCGATTTTTGCCTAATTATCGATTTTCGTCGATTTTTGCCTAATTGCCTATTTTTATCGATTTTTGCCTAATTGCCAATTTTTATTGGTTTTGCCAATTTTGCCACTATTTGAATGTTTGCCCATTTTGCCAAGCCTGCCTATTTTTTCCTAATTGCCTATTTGTTAATTTTGTCAATTTGTCAATTTTATTTGTTTTTTCCTATCTCGTCTATTTTTCTATTTTGTCAATTTGCCTATTTTATCTATTTGCCAATTTATCTATTTTTAAGTTTTGTTTTCACGAATGCCATTTAAATCGCATTAACAGCATATCCTTGCATTCATTATGTCTTTTATTTCTTAGCCATCCATTACAGAGTGAGCATAAGATTTTTGACTAGCCAAGTTCAAAATCGCTCGACTAGTGGGCCAATATTTGAAAAGTAGGTATATATTTTTATCATAAAAAAACTAGAGATCGAATCAATGTTGCATGCAATGCAACTTGCCTTAGGTAAGACGAGATAAGTTGATTTTTAATTTTTTCTACACGCAATAAACCCTTTATCCGAACTTTGAATAGACCAATCATAGAGTTTTCTAGTAACCATAATACTAGATGACGACTCTAGTTATTTTTACCTATTTTTCTTGTTTTCATCCAAATTCGTTGCCCTTGCCACCATCGTCACCTTGTGACACATATCATGAAGGTCTGGAAGTGCATGGAAATAGCTAGTGTTGAAGGTATTTATTTTGACTCAAGGTTGACCTTATAGTAACATGGGCGATTTTTGTTTTCGTATTTAATGATGGATTTGAAGACTTTTAAAAGTTATATCTCTAAGTGTTTAGCAGATATACTCCTAAAATTATCTTCGAGGATTCAAATAATTAAAAAAAATCAAATAATTAATAAAAATAGCTACAAGGAGACAAAATCTAAAAGCAAAATATCAATGCATATGTAAATGACGTATTCGATATTTGGGTAAAAAAAAACCCGTTAATTTCTAGGGTTGTTTTGAGGAGAGAGATGCAATTTATAGAATATTTTAAGTTTGCCCACAAAAGTTAAAAAGTTGCACCCCTGTTTTTCAAAAAAAGATTTCTTTCAATTTGTAACCAGAATTTATTTTTAATGTATCAATTAGATTACTAGGTCCCTTTATATAAGTCAAGAATGAAGAACTCTCCTTT